GGCCTTTTAAAAGGATTGTCGTGTTTGCCAATGAAACCTACTAAACAGCGATATGGAAATATAATTGTCGTTCATAGGCGAGTTTATAAAAGAACTGCCGGGGAAGGCTCTTGAGAGAATTGAGAAAGATAAGAAGGGAAGGAAGGTGGCGACGCAGTGAAGAATGGATTTAATCTTAAACGCTTTATCTCTTGCACACGAGTTTTCTTTTCTCTGCTATGAGCGAGTTGGCAGCTCTTGAGAACCTTTGCATCTTTTTTTTTACATAAACGCGTCGGAATATTTAGCTTTTATGCACGAAAGTTTTATATGACGATGTCATTGGTTTTGATTAACTCTAATAAGTAATGTTTGTCGTTGATTCGCAAATACAATTAATCGAAAATTTTGTATAATAATTGAATGACAATCGAACTTCCAGGTAATATTATAATTTTAAATTGTATATGAAGAGTTATTACTAGTTCAAATTCGTTTCATATGACGAATTCTTATGAAATATCGATATTGCACGAAGCTCATAAATATTACTGTGTAATTGGTTGCTAATTTAATAATCTCATAAAGCATCCAATATGCAGTTAATAAAGGTGAACTTTGCTCAATTTTCAACAAAATAAAAACTTTTAATTTCAAATATTGGTCAAATACTTCCTATGGTAAATTTCTAATGAACAGATGTTTAAAAACTGGACGAATTAATGAAATCATTTGTAATAAAGTCACGCGTGCCAATGATAATGAAAGATATAAATTTGCTCAAAAACTACCTCAGTAACAAACCTATAATGGTTAAAATAATGCATATAATTACGGTATGTACGTGCACAGGTCATCACTAACGAGTGCTTTGCAAAACCGCAAAAGCGCTCATACATCGATCAGGCGAGGCTTGTGAACTCGAAGCACTCAACAGTGGAACTTCAATTTTAATAAATAGAAAATTTTCAGCAGTCGCTCTCTGCGTGGTTATATTTTATATTTTACCGAGAAACTGTACCACTTGGAAAATGATAATACAGAAGTAATGCGCATGCAAGTACGCATACTGTAAATCACGGACACGATCATTATACATTAATTCATACTCAATTGAACAAGATTTTATAATTCGTTTGTGAATTTTTTTTCGATTACGTAAAGTTACAATTCTGATCATAAATCGACTTGCCTAAGAGAATAAGTTTTCGCAGAGGGCAATCATAAAAGAAAATAAATACGTTTCTAAATGCCGATAAAACATCTGCAATGCCTGGATGTCGGCCTCCGTCCCATAAAAACAAGGCTAAAAAAATTAAAAACCCATCGGATCGTACCAGAAAAGAAAATAATTCTATAGGAGCGGAGCTTTGAGCTCTAGCGTCGTTCTCTCTCAAACGGTCAGCCCTTTTCCTCTCGCTGAAAGTTAGAGCCGTTTTACGGGGCCTTTTTAGGTGATACGATCCTCGCGCGAGCGCGCATTTGATGAACGGCAGAGATAAAAAGTTGCGGCTCAATTTTGCGCCGCTCGTCGAATACACGCGCCCACGCGTGCATGCACACAGAAGCCGTTTGAAACGAAATAGAGGGAGAGAGAGGGTATACACATGCGGGCCGAAGAATTTCTCTCACGTGTCAATTGGATTTAAATTTAAAATTCGATTCCTCTTTTGAGAGACAGAGCTGAGCGTGTTATACGAGGCTTTTCCGTAGACACGTAAATAAAATAACAAATACCCCAAGAGAGAAGAGAACTGAAGGCGGAGTTTTGCATTGGAAATGTTTTTCCCCAGAATATATACTGCCGGAATTCCAGATTGCCAGGCGACGACTGAGACTTTGGCTACACCAGCCTTTGTGCGATACCAAGTGCTATTTCACATGCCGCTCATAAAGTCGTGCTTTTCTCGACTCGACAAACGAACGTACGTTCAGTTTATGAACAAGTGTTTCGTTGCCTCCTTAAATGTGCTTGTAACTGTTAAAGCGTACCTTTTTACGAAAAAGCAAAATGGATGAAAAAACGGAGGAAGTAACTACTTGGCCGAGCGTTTTAATTGACAAGCGCATGAAAATGATATTTGCCTTATTTTCAATGATGAATACGTCAAATGACTAATATATGCGTAATTTATAAAGACAAAGTAAGCAGCAACAGCGCGAGCATTTTTTTCTACTGACGCCAGCACAGTAACTGTATATGCTTCGTATGCTCGGATATATTTCATCGCAACGGATAGCTTCGAACGTGGCAATGAAGTGAAAAAAAAACATTTTTTTTTTGCTCCTGCTGACATTTCATGTTATGTCCTATCTCATTACAATATTTCGTATAAGTTGCAATCTAATAATCATATTAAGTATCGCGTGTAACGCGCTGATGTTTGAAATATATGTGTTCTTTGAACTCGGTCTTCTTTTTTCGAAAAGCACTTGATTTATATGGAATGGTGCGCAGGTGCAAATGACAGAAGCTACATTTCTCTCTTTGTCGAATGAGTTTTTGTATTGTCAATGATTGCTATGTCAATACATATAAATAAAAATAGAGGAGTAAACAAAATGTTCGATTGACATTGGTAGAGTGCAATTTAGATTTTATAGGTATTTTTTTCTTTATTATTTATTTTTAATTTTTCAAGCATTATATTTTATAAGTATCCCTATAACCAAAACATTAATGCAATAGGTAGTAAAAACTTATGTTCGAGCAATTACTTATTTTTCTAATTTGAAAAAATTTAGCTATCCTAATTTCTATTACGTCATCCTAAAGTAAATTATTATATATTTTTATAAGTTATAGTCTTTACAAAGCGACTGAAACGAAAAGGAAATGCACGATGATTCGCGAAAGTAATATGGACAAACCATAGTTACCATGACACCACCCTAATTCCACAGTCAACAATAAACGGAACTGACACGAAAAAAGGGGTTGGGCTGATTCATCGTAGACACAGATCGATAAAGAGAAGCAGCAACGAGGTATTTTGGCTCGTTTTTTTTTTGTTCGTTGCCGGCGTCGTCAGGTGGTGCATGCGGTATCGAGTTGCTACCCTCCACGACTAAGCTCCTTTCAGGAATAAAGATGGTATTACAGACGCACGTGTACTAATCCCTCTTTGCATGTTCGTATCGCTCGGGCACATTCATTACAACACATCGTGGTAGACAGTTTCTTTTTTTTTCATTTTCACGTTTATTTTTATTTATTTTTTGTTTTAACAAAAACATATGCTTAGATGTAGACAATTCGCGAAGCTAGCTTTGTTTAATTGTAATCTGATGATTACTCTATTTGTTGCTGTTTGACTGGTTTACTTCGTTTAGTCGTCGGGAATGTTCTCTAGTCCCTGAAATGATATCATATGAATCAAAAAATTGTTTTAGCTTGTTAGATCAGTTTTGTTTTTGCTTTTCTAAAATCATGAAAATTTTAATGCAAAAACCTTTCAATACTCTGATTGGTAACAGGATTTAAATTTAATTTTTCAATTACAAAATATCAGAATATTTTGTTACAAAATATTAGAATATTTTATAAATGAAAAATTAAACTTAACAAAAATTTAATAAGATTTTTGAAGTCATTTATTCAAAAAAATTCAATAAATTAAATAACTGATAAATAATTTGGTTGCTGTAGAGAAATTTGTTTAAAAAATAACTACGTATGTTGAAACTAAAGGTTTCAACCAAAAGTTTCAACATATCTCTACTATAGATAATCTGTAGTAAAATTTTCTCTAATACAAACAATTAGTAAAAGTAGTTTTTAAAATATGTATTTGTATTTAATACAAAGAATGAAATTCCTAAAGCTATCTGAAAAATTGTATAATATAACAATTGTTATGTTCTCAAGACAGTTACATGAATGTTGTATTTTAGCACTTTATAACTGGCTACATAAATGAATTAATTGTATAATTTTTATTAATATTCACAATTACATAGTCTAGTATGACTTACAGGGGTTATCCATGGTGCACCTGCAATTCTGGCATCCCTATCAAAGAAAGTTCTCTGCCATACTTCTTCCAGTGTTCTACGGTATGGCTATAAAAGACAAAGATGATTGATTAACATGGATATGTTGTTACATTATTTATAATCGATTGTAAACAGTACATAAAATTTGTAAGTCAGTCAGTATTGTGAGCATATTTACAACTATATGTATTAGAAATACAATGTTTGTATCATTCAAACAATTAGATTTACATAAAAATTCACGACAATGCATGTAATGCACTAAGCAAGATCTTGAAAAGCACGAAAATATAATTGCATACCTTCTAAGCAACGTAAAATTGAACATTGATTCATTAAAAACCTCAATAAAGTTCTAATGTAACCTAAAATAGTTACGTAAATAATGCTTACATTTCCAAACATAGCCTTATTAATGAGACAACCAGTGATTTGATAAGAATAAACGAGTGTGCCAATGATACACATGCATGGTAAAACCTCGTACCACATTTTGATGGAAACTTAAAAATAATTATCTAAAATAATTTTCAACACTTGTCGATTATGATTTTTTTTGGTTAACAAAAAGCAACTAGAAAGCAACCAATCAAAATCGGCAAAAATGCGCATGACTTAGCAGACGTCATGAATTTTGGTGCATGCGTCGTAGTTACGCGCAAAATTACAATTTTTAAGTTATTTTGTTTATGTTTGATAAGATAATTGTTTTTCGTAACTATTATAGTCACTTTTATGCATGTAATAATTTTGTATTTAGACGGTTTGTAAATCGAATGTGTAAAAAAGTTATTGTATAGAAAAACTAAAGTTTGTTATTGAAAGGACAATAAACATTTTTATTATTATGAATTTCAATGTTCTGATTCGATATTTACGTTTTTATTTCTACGAATAAATTAAAATAAATTTTAATTGTCAGAAAGCATTGAAAATCCACTCATGTGAATTATAAACTAATTTAAGGGCATTAACATCAAAACTTAAATTTTTTATCTAAAGAGACGACAGAGATTAGAAGTGATATTGCAATTATGTTTCACTTATAAATCAGCTTTAATTGATTATTTATCACAGCTCTGTAAGTGAAAAAAATTGCAATCGTCAAACAATAAAATCGAATTTATCAAATAACTTGGAAAAATAGAAGTATAAAAATAGAATTTTTAAGCGCGCAATACATTATTTGATGTCGTTACACTATCTATAAAGCCGCGATGAACCTAACCTAGAGTAAAAAAAAATTAATTAATGTGATCATGTTCGCCGCATAATATCATGCTTGTCTCCGCAAGCTAATAACTAAGTAATCCACGATTATTTTTTTTTTTCATTTAAACAAACTTTCTTCATTACTCCTGATTTTAGACTGAAAAATGACTTTCTGTGTTAATTACAAACTAGAATGTGAGACTTTTCTGTGACCACGTGTGAGATTTATTTTTTATATTTATATCCAAAGGTTTTTGTCAATGACTTAAAACGACGTTTCTCGTTGAGGAGCCTAATCTTTTTTCAATTCAAGTGAGGAAACAAACAAAATCCAAATCAGCGTTACATATACCACACCTACTGATTTCGTCTTATCAATTTTTAAGTAATCATTATTTTGTGTGTGAGGGAGAAAAGAATAAACCGGCTAAGGTCGCCGAAAAAATTACGAATAAAGGTATTGATATCTGTTTTACGTGAAAAAGTCTCTTATTAAAGTTAACATAAAGTTGTATAATAAAGAAACTTTGTAATAGTTTATTGTGCAAGTTTTAGTTCAAATAGTGAAACAAGTTCCTGCTTGTTAACTTAGATATTTTGGTGTAAGATTTGTTGTTAAAAGTGCTAGTCAATTAGTGATAAAAATATAAAAATTCCTATTTTAAATATTAAAAGATTTTTATTTTTAAATAAATTATTTTTAAACAGTCTCATCTGTAAGTGCAACATACTTGGATCAAAATATGTAACATAAAAATATTCATATAGGTAATATTTTGTATCATTTATCCATAAATTATTCAGAAAACTTACTGAATGATCTACTACTTCAACAACTTTACATCAAAATGGTTAGTAGAATATAATTGTCATTAACGTTTAAATTGTACTAAAAAGCATGGAATGCTATGTTGCTTGTAGAAATGCTAGGGCACTTTGCAGTTTATTTTTTGTATCAAATAATATTGTGTTTAGCAAGAAATATATTTCTTTTGCAGGCTACCATAAGACAATTTCAACCACCAAAAATGCTACTACGTATATACTCTTTAATTGTTCTTGGATTAGATCTGGTAACATTATTCATTGGTATTTGGTTTGCTGTGATATTGGCTGTCTATAGAACTTTTAGGCCACCAACAATGAAAATTATTCATGGAGAAGTAGCAATGGTATATAAAAATATAATTTCATATCAATCGACTTCATTTTCTTCAAAATTAAATAATACAAAGTATGTAACATTCTAGGTAATTGGTGCTGGCAGAGGGGTTGGCAAAGAAATAGCAATTCAACTTGCACAACTTGGAGTTATTGTAGCTTGTGTTGATCTAAATATGGAAAGTTGTCAAACTACAGTGAACAAAGCTCTACAGTTGTCTGGATCGGCAAGATCATACACATGTGATATTACAAATGAAAAACAAGTAGAGGATATAGTACAAGCAATAAGAATCGAATTAGGTGAGGTTACAATGCTTTTTCACTGCTGTGGTGTTCCAAGTCCTCGTACTTTAACTCAAAATTCACAAGAAATTAGACAGACTATGGATATTTCAATTTTAAGTCATTTTTGGGTTGGTAGCTCAATTAAATCAGCATATAATTCTAAATTATTTCAAGTCAAACTTACAAAGCTTTACATTTTAGTTACTAAACTCAATACTTCCAAGTATGCAGAGAATGGGTAAAGGTCACATTATTGTTCTATCATCAGTTGCTGGTTTATCTGGAGGAACAAGTCGAGGAGCTAGGATACCTCTGTCTACTGCTCAATTTGCTGTACAAGGCTTTGCTGAATCATTACAGACTGAATTAAGACATTCCAATAATAATATAATGGTAACTTTGGTTCATGTTTATCCATTCATTATTGGAGCTGAAGCTGCTAAAGATATTCGATTCAGGTGGGTTATTGAAATTTTAAATTTTTATTGTCATAAGATTTTTATACCAAGTGTGCATTAAAGAAAATAATTTTACGATTTGTTTCAGAATACCTAGTTATTTTGGTACTATGCAAGCAAATGAAGCAGCAAAACAAATTTTAGATGGTGTCAGGAGAAATTATACAGAATTTAGTGTTCCAGGGTATTTGCTTTATTTAGGACATATCTTAAGGTAACTGATAGTACATTTTTGTGTCAATTGGCATTAAATTTTTTAATAATATTGATTTTTATTTTATAGGATATTGCCAAAGAAAGTATCTTTTATGTTACGAGATTTGTTAGACACTGGTGTTGATTTTGCATAATTTCGCGTTTATAAAAACTTTTAATGAATGCATCATAACTGTTTATCAAACAATAAGATTTATTACATTTGATACATTAATTGTAATATAAACGAAAAGAGACTTATTTTATATGATAATGAAGTGATATTAATAGATTTAACTAAGGATTCACTGCAATTTGAGTAACATTATAAGTAATAAAGACGTACATATAGATTAAAAAATCTGTAAAAATATTGTAAATTATATTACTATTATACCCTTGTTTGATTTTTTTCATTATATATTATATATCTCTTTGCCGACTTCAAAACAGAGGTTTTGCAATCGACTTGATTTTTGTATGCATTATTATTAATAATACGGAGTTAATTTTACATGTGTGGTCAAATACATTTAATTTTTTTTTTAAATATGAACAACTTTCGAATGTAATAAGTACATTACCTAACTAGTGCGGAAATATTACGTTACGATACAAGTGCGGGAAAGTAGATTCTTGTCTCGTGTGACGTTTACGCTAGAGTGAAACGAACGTGGAAAGGTACACGAGACAAGAAACTCTTTCCCGAACATGTGTTGTACCGTATTTTTTTATACGACGTGTGGAAAATGCGATTTTCAACGCACGCTCGGCAAAAAACTTTTTCAATCAAGCCTATTCCTCATCAGATTAAATAGAGCTAAACCAAGAAAATCTCAAAGAACATACTTTTATCAGTGATCATTGAGATTGTATATTCATAATATATAAGTATAGAAAAAGAATTAGAATCTATTGAAACATTCTGCATGAAATATATTATATTATTTTGTACTTTTTCGAGAAATTTACAGACTGCGAGAAAGCAAAAGACACTATTATTTCTGAAATTTCTATTGATGGATCGAATTGTAAATCGCTTACGAATTATCAGAAATGTAATCTTGAATCAAATAATTAAGTGCACATCTTATTATTTATATTTTACTTATATCATATTTTAAAAATATAAATCAAATTAAACGTTTTATACTTGTCATACAGTAAATTATATTCAATTTCATTTATTTGTCTGTCTAATATTTTTTGTGCAATACTTTTTAAAATCTATTTCTTTTGTAATTTAGAGAAAATTATAAGAATTAAATCTAGGAAATAAATTGATTCAATTTGAGTGCGTATTTCATGATTGCTTCATGATACTTTTATTAGAAAGAATGAGTTTTTTAATATTTCATTTATAACTAAAACATACACTTGTATGCACATACATATTTTTTTCTGTAAAATTTATGATCTATTGAAAGAAGTTTAGAAAATAGTAAAACTATTTTACAATCATTTGACAATTCATAAAATTTTATATTTCACAACTAAGATTTAAAGCAGAAAAAAACATTTAATTACGTCAACGAAGATCTACGCTTGGGCGTCTATTTTAATTATATTATATACATTTATACCAATTATTTATTAGTCTAATCCAGGAGGTGCAGGCTCGAGATTGTCGAGATCATTAGTATCTTGACGCTCGTGAAAATCTCCAGGAGGAGCCTGTAATTATAAAAAATAGATTTATGCAATTATTTATAGAAATTATAAAATCATATTCTTCGCAGATAAACAGAAAACTTACGATGTCAAATTCGTCGTGCATAAGTATGGGTGGTTTCCCTTTGATCACATCCATGATAGATTGTGGTATATGAGCTTTCTACAAATAAATAACAAGACATTAAGACAAACGTTAGAAATTTTCTAACAACATTTGAAATATGCAACAATAAAATATATAACGTATACCTGATTATCCGCAAAAGCTTCAACATGATCGATCAAAGGTTGACGTAAGTTAGGAGCCATTTTCAAAGCTTCGACTAGCTGCGCCGGTGGCAATTGCAGTATTACAGAAAAACTTTGAGGCTCAGTTCTTTCGCAGCACTTAACAAAACCTTCCCAAACTTTCGGTTGTTTCCATACTTGCTTCAATATCAAACGTTGTAAAATATTCATCACGAAACCGCTTAATCGTGGATATAGCGATAAGCTCTGAATTACTGTACGCATTAGAAGCGTTGGTAGTGGAGTCATATCCATAAGTTGCTGCATTACTACTGCTACTATATCTTGTGTGAATATTTGTTTCTCAGCAAAACACAGTGACGTTGCTAAAATTAAAATAATAAAACGAATGAATTCATTAAACTACCCTAATAAATAATTTTTATACAATTGAACTTACCTTTAATAACCGTTTTCAATTCAGCTTTATTCGGCTCAATAGTATGTAAAGCGATCATAAGCTCGGCAGGTGTGATGGGTGAAGTATGAGTTGCTCCGCCTTCAATGTTGTGAGTTCCTAGAAGTTTGTTGAAAACCTCTTTCACAACAATCGGATTTAATTTGATTAATTTGGGTAGTGCAGCTATGACCTCTTTTTTGGTCAAACCATTGAGTACGGGTATCAAAAACCGAACATCCGAAACTCTAGTTTGATACAGTTCTCTGACTTTGGCTACAAGCTCTGGACTAGGAGGAGCTGTAACGACAAATAAATAATGAATTTGTTCAATAAAAAAAAAAGTTATAACTAAATGTATTATTTGCATAACGCCTACAAGAAAAATGTATACTTCACCGATTCCATTTATCAAAGTAAAAACTTACCTTTATCTGTCAAAATGTGAATAATCCTGGTAATGAGCGTCTCTGCACCCTTTGGACAGTTCTCAACGAGTTCGAGTAATTCGACACTAGCCATTCCAATAGCACGCACGGGACCTTCAACAAGCCTCAGTACAATTCTCTTGACCTCAGCGCTCATAGAAGTGTAGACTCGTGCAAGCTCGTGGATAAGTTTATGATTCTCGGTAAGCAATGCCAAATAAAGTCCAAGGCAGGCACGCGTCGTAGACTCAGTCCAATGCTCCTCGATGTTTGGCCTACCACGATCCGAGCCGAATACTATTTCCGGTGGATTGGGTACTCGTAGGAAACCAAGATAGAGGACAGCGTATTCTTCAATAAGCTTGCTGAGTTCAGGACGTGCGTAGAGTTGGACTACTAGTTGAATGGCGCAATCACGAATCTACAATTAAGATCAGTTATCAATGTTGAAATGCTTCTAGAGCACTTGACCAACTCACCATACTACTCTCGTGTCCTGTATGACACTCTATTACATTCAAGAAAATCAGTTGCTTGATTGGCCTCCTAATTACTAAATCTTTCAGAAGGTGTAGTGGTCCGAGTCCTCTGGATTCATCGCACGAGATCATCTTCAATGATTCCACAGCATCTTCGGTGATAAGTGGTGCCTCTAAGTATAGTCTGGCAAGTAAAATATCACGATCTTTGCCAGTGATATTGTCGATTGCTGTGACGAGAGTGCAAAATAAACTGTTGTACGCTTGGTGTGGTCCCTCCAATGGCTTTTGATGTAAAATTGTTCGGCGTTGAAAACCTTGTAGCAAAGCGTATTCTTCGTATAACCAACACATGGCTAATTCAAGACGCGTCCGCATATCCTCGGTTATGTGTCGTAGAATTAACTCCTTTACGTAAGGATTGAAAGTCGCTGCGAGAGTCGTCAAAATTTTCAATCTGAAAATCAAATGAAAATTGTACTATGGCAGAAAATTATTTTTACAATGGAAATGATTATTTACCTGATATTTGAAACACCTCCTATAATGACACTCTTCTCTGTGCCAAGAATCCTGTCTACAGCCATCAGCAGCATTTTATCTCTGATATTATTAGTAAGGGGCTTTGTTACTTCTGAAAGTTTAAGTGCCTTAACTCTACTTCTCGCTTTAGCCAGAGATTTTTCATGAGCTTCCAGTGCAGCCTTAGCTTGTAATTCCTTTTCTCTATCTTTCTCACGTTTTCTCTCTTTTCTAACTTCTGCAACACTGATTGATGGATTTTTAATTAAATCTTCCATCACAGTTTCTAGTCTTTCATCTTTTGTATCTGGCTTAGACTTCTTTGCTTTTGTGAGCTTAATTTGATTAGCTAAAAGCTTAGCCACTACTCGTCGCTGTACTGTAATATCAGTTGTGGATGTTGGTTGGTACTCCCTCATGAAGGTAGGTGGTACAGTAACTGAATCAGGTACCCATGGCTGTAAATGATTACATGATTTAAGATATTTTTCAATTTCAAATAACAGTATCAATATCTTTTTCTATACAACTTACCATACTGCTCATCACCAATTCTGTAGCAATCTCAACGCTCAGTCTATCAGCTATGTATCCTTCTGACAGTTCAATTAACTCCGGTAATTGTGGTGCAGGAACAGGTAATGGTACTATTTCGGGCTCTTCAATAACAGGTATTTCAATCCTAGCTTTTTTAATAGTTTGAGCAGCAATGCTTTCTTGTTGTCTCTTCTTAATTTTTCTCAACTCTTCAGGCTTTGGCATGAACTTAGCAATTTCATTTTCTTTACAACCTAGCTGCAGTAAAAGTTTACCAACATTTTGATAATCTGAACAAGCTGGATGTTTTAGAAAACCAAGCAGAGTCAGTTTCATTTGCTTTTGTACACTTGTCACTTGAGAGTCTGTTAAAGTGGGGGGTAGATTACTTAACAACTTTTGCATTGCTTGGATGATCTCTGACATGAATTGAGGTCTCATCTTTGCAATGAGCGACAAAGATCCCATGCATGTTATAAGATTAACACTGCTGACATGAACCGAGTGGAAGAAATTTATTAAGAGAGCTATTACATGTTTTGCCTCAGCTTCCAAATTTCTTCTACGAATTGTTGTCAAAGTCAAAGGTACATCTTCCAAAGAAAAGTCATCATCCTTTTTGAGAGAATTTTCTTGAGGGTAACTTTGGATCAAAATCACTCCTTCGAGAAATTTGATCGCTTGAGTCCTTATACTGAGGAATAAGTGTACAATTGAAATATAAATAAATAATAATATGTTAAAAATAAAATGGAATGTTAAATTTGTACCCATCATTTACACTGTCAATCATGTTAATTATTTGTATCTTCAAATTACTTATTTGTCCCCATGCATTCTCCATATCTGGTGTAAAAACTGGGGCAAACGATACCCATTTCAGAGTGGCTTTAAATATTCTTCCACTTGCTCGCAAAGCACGTTTGGCTACAACTGCAGCGGTATCCGTTACTAGTCTGATCAAAACTAAAATGAGCCTTGGGATTGTTTCTGGTGCTTTCTCTCTGTCAAATTATACATAAATTTTTTGTATTTTTTTTTTGTTCATAATAAAAGTGGTAAAAAAATGATTATATTTCATACCCAGCATCCTCAATAAAGCCAGCAATAGCTTTTCTAACATCTGAATTTCTGTCAACCGCGAATTGCAAAATCTCATCTAAACAATTATCCAACAAAAGTGGCTCCTTGTTTAATATAATTTCCTGCACTTTGTACAAGTTTTGTACCTTTAAATTATCATCATTCGTAGTAGCGGCTTCGTTAAGCCATTCTACAACCTGCGAAATTCACAAAATAACAAATAACAACTAAAAATATATCGAAGTTTCTTCGTTTAATCAACAGAAAAAAACGGTAATGAAAATAACAAGCTGTGGAATATTTACTGTATCTCCGGTACTCTTTTGTGGCTCTACTCGACGGTGAATCCGGGGATCCATATTTAATAAAGTTGATTGACGATTCTTGGCAGTCAATCGTTAAATAAAAAAAATGTATGATGCCCACTTTCTGATACCATTCATGTTGACAATATATTTTAGAGGTTAAGTTTTTGCGGCGAAGTAACCGTAAGGGTGCTCTTACATGGGAGCGGAAAGTGGACAGAGCGGCAGCGGACAGCTGCAGATAGCCGATTCGAGCGGACAAAAAGAGAAAGAAAGGTGACGAGAAACTCTTTCCCGAACATATTCCGTACCGTATTTTTTTATATGACGTATGGAAAGTGCGATTTTCAACGCACGTTTTTTGCCGAGCGTGCGAGAAAAACGCACTTTCCACACGGAGTGTCGAAAAATTATAATTATAGCATGTTTAGAATAATAGAAAGGGACGCTACGAATAAGAGGAGAGGGGGGAGAGGGATGCACCACTGTGACGAACGGACACGTCACGTTGCGTCTATAACATATGTATATGACAGGTATGAAATAAGGCGCAAGCGCAAACAGCATATGTACACCCGCGAGATTTATGAACGTCGATAATATAAGCGAAAACGTGTAAATGGTCACTTGAAAATGCAACTCTTACTACGAATATTCAAAGGAAAAAAAAAAAAAAAAAAACAAACGAATAAAGAAAGATTTATTGCACTACAATAAATCTCGACTACGGCATCTACTCGAGCGCGCCGACGTCTGCGCTACACATGTTGCTCACCTGGACAAATTGCGAGCGCAAGATTGGCATCGGAGCAAACAGCAGAAAAAATGCTCTAAACCGGCAATAAAGGATGAAGCACGTAGGTCCGAACGTGCCGCGAAAACTTTCCCTTTTTACTGCATCCTTTCTTCGAGGCCTTTCTCGAAGAAAGGATGACGCCCACTTCATCAAATGACTGGATGCCGAAAAAACTCTTACTCCTCCCTCTCTTTGGAGGTGTTGATGCTAAACCTACCCCTTTGGGAGTGACAGAGGGGAGCGCCGAGGAGGACGCTCCAGGACAACGACAAGTCAGTCAGAGCAGAGCCCTCACGAGAGAAACTTGTGACATTTTTCTTGTATTCTACATCATTAAAAGCAATTGGCAGTTTGAAGTATCACTGATCTCTCTTTTCATTTGAATTTTCCACGCTACCCAAATTATAAAGTCGGTCAATGAACGCTCTCATTCCTTATTTATCGAGTCACGTTCAAATTCATCCCGCGCTTACAACTAAATACAAATTATTCCTTGTTCGCGCCAACGGCAAGGGTGGGGATGTTACACCACGTAAGACGTGCGTCTGTCCGTTAGCGGACAAAACTTTCTCTTTTTGTCCGCTTTCCGCTCCCATGTAAGAGCACCCTAAGGCGTGAACCATGTCAACGACAGAACGCAAGATGTCGCCATCTACCAATTATTATTTGATGGCGTTCATTTTGAAATCTGCACATCCTTGACAAACAATTCGCGCGACGGAGTCCATTGATACGCATGGAATTGGAATTGAAATAAGTCTAATATTAACTTTAATATTTAACATTGTTTTATTATGAAATCATTAAGACAATAAAAAGGATAGTCATTTCGATCGTTATTGTTAAGTTATATAACTATATCCCAGTTAAACCTTATGTAATTGATATATAGTTTCAATTATTTATACGTGAGGTAGCAGTCAAATTGTGATCGAGCTTACTTTTAATAATACTTAGTACACATCAGAGAACAAATGAAACTGTGATCATCTATTTTGATAAGATAGCTTTTCAGGATCCTATCTTTTCAATCTCCTCGGGATCTTTGACGTTTAGTAGAGCTATTGTCTTTCGAAAATGATTCTGAATATCTCTGCAGATTAGCATGGAATGTTGCGAGTCGATCAAATTAATGGCAATTCCTTTCTTCTCAAATCGGCCAGTTCTGCCGATACGGTGTAAGTAAGTCTCGTAGTCCGCTTTGTTATTTTGGTCAACTGGCATGTCAAAATTCACGACAACCGTCACTTGTTCCACGTCGATTCCTGAATACAAATTCACAGCATTGCAAAATTATTGTGCTTATAGAGGCTGATCAAATGAACATTTTTCTACGAAAAAGAAAGACATTGATACCTCTTGCCAATACGTTTGTAGTAATCAACACTTTTTCAAGTCCTTCCCGGAACCTATGCAAAACCCTCACTCTATCCTCGACAGTCAAATCGCCAGAGAGTATCCCAACAGAATGGCCATCTTTTGTCATTTTATCCGACAACCAATTTGCCGTCTTTTTCGTCTACAATTAAAATGAGAAATTTATCAATATAAAAAGTATATTTGGTCGTATAAGTTACTCACATGACAAAAAATAATTGTTTGTCCAATCGATATAGCCCCGTAAATGTTATCAATAGCTTCGTACTTATCATCCAAAGTTTGGCACAATGCGTAATACTGTTTGATATTGTCTAAGCTTTCCTCTTCCTTTTTCAGCCTAATAATTACCGGATTGGTGACGATAGCTTCGGCGAATAGCATTATCTCGTCGTTAAATGTCGCTGAAAAGAACATTAACTGGCATGCGAAATTAAGTTGTCTAAAAAAAACGTATATACGGAAATTCGTGGAAAAGTCGACTAATTGTGGTATTTGTTTATTTTATATTACTGACCCGTGAATCCTGAGACATTGATCTTGATATCCTTGAATAGAAATCATAATATCGGCTTCGTCCAGAACGAAAACGTTGATCATCTTGGGATCGAAAAAGCGATACTTTAACGCCCAGTCGAGAACTTTTCCAGGTGTACCAATCACCACGTGTTCTTTGATTTGAGTACCCTTTGGTACTGAAAATTCGAAAGTTACCTTTTCATATGTATACATTTTAACTGGAATTCAAGTATCGTAATAAACTTACGATTCTCTCCTTTAGTAGCTAATATTAGTTTAATATCAGGAAGGTATTTAGCTAATGAAGCAATGAACTTTTCTGTTTGAAGTGCAAGCTCAAAAGTTGGTGAGAGGCATAAAACTTGTGGATACGGTTTGCTAGAGTCTACTCGACTGAGCAGTGCCAATGTGAATGCTGCTGTTTTGCCTGTACCTGACTGCGACTGCGCGATCAAGTTTTTTGGGCTACGGCGGTAGGATGAAACAAGTTTTTTGTTTTTATCTCAGGGTAGTTTTGCTGAATATTATACGAGCGATTTAGTTTTATAAGCTATAAATAATTTATCACATGTAACGTGTAGTCGAAGTAAGGACTTCGTATGTACATGTACAAAACGTTCACGATTTTCCGTGACATTCTCACGCTAAGTCCCTCGATTCTTCAATGCATTGAACGTTATAGAATTTGATATTTCATTACATATAACAAACAAATACACGTAAAAAACTATCAATTTGAAAAAACCTATGAAGACAAGACTATTTATTTGAGCCGTCCTACATATATGCGTAATATTTATCGACAATCAAAGTTGCATCATCAACTCTTGGAAAAAATGCATATTTTCAGTTTTACTCCTTGTACCTTCTGTTTTTCAGTTTGCGAATAATTAGATTCTACATTATAGAGTAGAACATTAAGAGGACAGATCAGTTTAAAACTGTTAATTTCACTATAACAGTAGTTCGGGAAGAGTTCGTTCGAAAAGGCTAGCGCTGTGGCGCATTTCAAGTTTTAAAGACACACAAGGAATAAGGAAAATTATTAAAAATGCACGAAAAGAAGAAACTTGGCACACAATTTTCCTTGACTATATCAGTAACATACTTGCTATATTGCTTTAGCAGTTGATATTGTTTTAAGCATATTAACAATACGTAAAATACAATAAAACGAAAAACATTTATGGTAATATGTAATACATAAAAATACACGCAATGAAAAAATTAATAAACGTATAGAGTATCATTTATTTTTGTAATAATCCGAAATCGTAGATGTATTATGTCTCTGTCACATTTTAGACATGAAAATCATGTATAATTACTATCATTATAATAAAAAGCATTTAAAAAAGAAACTTACGGATTAGCTAACAGAATGGGTAGGGCCTGTTCCTGAATTTTCGAGGGTGCGTTATATTTCATCTCATAAATAGCCTTTAGTAGTTCTGTCTTCCTAGAATAAATTTAAATTTCCACATGTATATATCTAAACATCCAATTAAAAGTAACATAATCAAAAATGAAGTTACAGATTAAGCTCTTCGAAAGTTTTAGCACTGTACAACGGGGAGTTCGAGTCGACATGTTGGACTCCTTGAGACAAATAAGTTTCCAGTGCCGTAAGTCTCTTCGGTTCGGTGTATAACTCAGTCGCACTCGTAGATGGCTGCTGTTGCTGCTGCTGCATTCCGCTTATCAGAAGCGAGCTAATGGAAGATGTGTGTGGTCGTCGCAGGTGAGGTTCCATCAGCAACATTTCTAAAGGCAACTACGAAAACACAGTGTTTTTTGTTATTATATATGCAAGACGACTCTTCAACTGCTTGATCACTAAAGTATTTATTTCTTGACAAATATATACAAATTTTTTCCGCCGTGGAAAATTTTCAACAGCTATAACTCCCCCACGATATTTTATTATTCCCCTTTTTTCTATATTTTTAGATCAAGTGATTTTCTTAAATAGCTATAGAAAGGATATAAGAAGAATAATCCGACAGAAATAAAATAACAGCGAGATTCATCCAAGATTGGATTAAATTTTATTGGCGGTTTCGTGTTAAAAGTTATTTACGTTAATCTAAGAAAAAGCTATAAGTAGGCGCGTTACATACACACGGATGTATATTGAATTAATTAAATATGCAAGTAACTTTGCTCGAGTTCGGAATGCCTATATATCAAATTTATAGAAATATCGATCATAAAACTAAATAAATTAACCGTGGAAGGACTGAAACCTCTTATTCCAGCCATCCTGGAAATAACAACATTCAAAATCAACAATAACTGTAAGTAGATATAGTTCTTGAAAGCAAGGTGTATACTATCATGGTGAAAGAAATATGGTTCAAAAGAAACTATATTGAAAAGAGACTTTGTCCAAACTTTATTTTCGTACACGGAAATAACTAGCCTGCGCTTTACTTTATATAGCCTTGGCGACGATTTTGGACATCTCCAAAGGCAAGAAATTATGTTTAATCGAAGCCTTTTTTTTAGCAACAGTGACTTTGACAACGAAAGTTATTAATATTTGTTATTGAAATTTATAACCTATTTTCATTCAGTCATAACGCAATTTATATTGCTTTTCCATTAATATCTATCAATTTGCAAAAGCCATTAGTTAATAAACAAATAGCTGATTTGTATGATTCTTTTTACAAAAAAAGAAAAAATATTTATTCGATTTTAACGTTTGACTATTTATTTCGCATAGCAGGTAAATTTAGTGCCGAAAAAGGATAGAAATTACGCATGGAAATTATTATATTGCATATGAAAATTCATCGTCAAAAAGTGAAAAAATCAGATTTTACCTCTTTTTCGCTAATTATTGTTAGCGTAGTCATTTTTTCTCGCCGGACGTACACATCTTCCCTCCAAAGCTTATGTAGCTACTTACAGATATTACTGATGACTCTCCTAATCTGCCTGAACTATCTAATGTTAGGACGATTTAATTATAATACAACGGAAACATCATTTCTAATTTTGAAATTTCATCGTGGTCATTTTCGCTAAACACTCGGTACAAATTTCACGACTCCCCATATATTTTGGTCAATACGTTACTTAACACACGCACACACGCACACATACACGTATGTAATCCGAAATGAAAAATATATTGAATGAAATAACAAAAGATTTGCTTTTTTACTGGCTTATTCTTGCTCTATGTTTGTATCTGCTAATTTACACGACGCTCGTCTAGCAAAAAACAATGAGGATTCACCGTGCTACAGAGACAGAAACGACGCAATTAGTGCACAAAAGCGCTGTTTTAACTGCGTTTGAATAACCTTTTCAAATTTTCGGGTGTTCAATATTTCAAATTCAATTATAAAGCTTATATTTGACTTCGTAGTGAAACAAAATACAAATTATTTGAGATCTTTTCTTATTAAAGGTGATGTTAATACATAAAAAAACATTAAAAAAAACTTTTGAAAGATACGTTTCATCAGTATAGTCGCGACCATATACGTGCTTAGTTGGCGTTTCTAGGGCAAATGTTTATGTCCCTTTTAGTTCTAAAGACAGAGCGATTTAAACATTCAAGCTGTTTAACAAATTACCCAACCGTCGGATCAAAAACCACTCTTCAAATTCCAGCCGGTCAAAATACAAAAGTCATGATGGCCCCAACTTAATTAAAAAGGCCACTGTGACCCCTATATGGCGACGGGATTACGAAGCATGACCTGATCAACTTTATACACAAACAATAACAAAATTGCATTGTTTATAAATTGCATGAATACTCGCGATATGAGTGCAACAAACGCGTTAAAAGTAAAAATAACGAAAAAGAAAATTAGTTAAATCCAAATGAAAAGAACTATATGTACGTTACACCTCGCGAGAATACGGATGCGTTCTAGATTGTTCCGTAGCACGATTATTTACCTTCAGGACGATTCTGTCTAAAGCATGGGAGTGCGGAAAAAATTGATGCTTCCGATCAATGTTTACGTTAACAATGAGACATTATTGACATTTGCTACAGGATCAGCCATCATTCACTTTGCACTGAAACACGTTATATTTATTTATTATTTAACACTGATGTTACATTTAACGCACTTTATTAGAGAAAGACGTTTCAATGTCGAACGAAGGATGGACAGGAGTTACCTAGGTAGCGACTTCACGGTAAAATATATACGTCTGCACTGCACAGCGTTGAGCGGATAAAATTTCAACTGTTTTTATATAATAGTGTGATTTGTGTATATGTATGGGGAATTCTTCGCTCTCAACTATATTTATCAGCTATTAGCTTTTATCTAATTACAATGACAATACAATAGTCAATTAGAGACTCGATATCAATGCTCGCAATCGATAAACATTTGTATAAACTACAAATGTTAAAACAATAAATAAAATTCTTTACTTTTTAAAAATTTTTGGTGTTATTAAATATTAAAAAATGACAGTTGTGCAAAAAAATTTATCGGCTAATTTTCCGTTTGGTAGAAACGGAGCCTGAAGACTTGCGCCCTCACGTTCATACACACACCTTGAGCTTTGCTGTGTATGTAATATATATATGTGATGAAGGAATGACTTTGTAGGTTAGTGTATATACGAAAAATACTGCTATAACTTGATGAAATAGGAGTCAAAGTGTAAATACAATAGTTATCATTTCAAAAAATTCATTAGGTATATATATATATAACCGTAAATTATTTCGCAAATCACATTTTTTTAAAATACTTTATACACATGTACCAAATTTACTTCGCAACTTTTCTAGGCAATGACAATTAATTTTCTTTTCAAACGATCAGCTGTTAAATATGACTCATTTTTTCACTGTCACGTAAAAATAAGATTATAAAAAAATTTGGATTATGAAAAGATATAATATTCTAGAATGTGATACTTACAGTAGTTGTAAGTTTAAGCCAAAAATTGATGATAATGAAACATTTTTTAATTTAGTAATGTGTTTTTTTTAGAAGACAGAAACAACAATGGCTGCTAAGAAAAGTGTCATTGTACTAACACCTCATGGTCGCAGACCCACTGTCAAAGTATTACCCTCCATGACAATATTGCAAGTATGTTTGTGTAGCTATGAAAAAGTTTTAATAAGTTATCAAAATTATTGGTTTATTTGTTGTAGATACTCGAGGAAGTTTGTCAAAAATATGATTTCAATGCAGATGAATATGATTTAAAGTAAGAAAAAAATTCTAAATAATATATTAATTTCAGTGATATTAATAGTATACTTATAATTGTTATTATTTAGGCATCATAATTCAATACTTGATGTTAGTTTAACTTTTGCGCATGCCAATATATCAAATAATGCTTATTTGGAAATGGTGAAATGTAAAATTCCAAGAAAAGTATCAAATGTAACCATTTGTGTTCAGTTGGAAAATGGAAAAAGAGAGATAGGAGTGTTTTCAGCAACAGTAACTATTGAAAAAATTCTTGATAATTTAGGTATTGAATTTAATACTGAGACTGCAATTATAATTTTTATGCATAAAGAGGTAAGATTTTATCTTAAAAACGGAAGTTCATTGTATGTATAATTAACTAGTTTGATAACTTTTGGAAACATTTTGTTTTCAGATATATAGTAAAGAATTTGAAACAACAACGATAAAATCATTAGGGTTAACAAATGGTAAAGCCCTGTTCAGACTTCTACAACGTGATCCTAAAAAATTCCAAGAACAAGCACATGTATATAACATATCACAGAAACCAAAAATTCCAAAGATTGAGGAATGTGACGAAACTAAGCCAAAACGTGCTCCATTGGTTGATCCCAAAAATAAAGCTTTAAATCCTCTTTCGATTATTAAATCTGAAAAACAGAAGCCTGAAACATCACAAGAAGCAAAATCAGAAGAATGTAAAACTAAAGAAACATATCAGAAAGTATTAAATGATGGATCAAATAAATTAATTCAAAAAATCGATGAAACACTCATGGAAATTGATGGCAATGTAGAATCATGTTCACTGCCAACTGAAGAATTGATAGAAGAGCCGAAAGTTGAATATGTAAGTACTTATCCATAATGACTTCAATTGGATAAAACAAAATATTTTCTTAGAATAAATGTTTCATAGTTGGGTGACAGAGATGCTATACTGTTCAATCAAACAGGTGCAAAAACGATTCAGCAAGCCGATATTCCTGATGATTTTTTCGAGTTAACAAGAAATGACGCGAAAGCTCTGTTACGTGACGTAAAGAAAATGCAATCAACTTTGGAAGAAACACCTTTGTTAACAGAAGCTCAACGAGAATTGGAAAAAAATAAAGGACGATTACATCGTTTATATAAGTATCAAGAGACTATTATAAGAATACAATTTCCAAATCAGTTGATACTACAAGGACGTTTCAGGCCTCTGGAGAATATACAGGCGGTCAAGGATTTTGTTCGGAAATATCTGGAAAATCCAGAAAGTGATTTTACGCTATGTAGGTATATGTACCATGAAAATACGCTTGTTTTTGAAAACGCTTTTCAATATAAGTCTTTATTCAAATATCTCAGAGATACAACGTATAATAATTATATTTGTATACTATTGCCATAGATACAGCACCGCCTCGTTGTAATTTGAGCCCAAAAAAAAATCTGATTGACCAGGATCTCGTACCAAGTGCTATAATTCATTACTCCGGCAGTTCCGATTTGAGACTTGACATCAAATCCAAACTGACTGATCCCGCTGCTGCTAGCATTCAGGCTCTTAAAATCAGGTATATGGTGTGTGTGTGTGTGTGTGTGTGTGTGTGTGTGTGTGTGGCGATACATTGCTTTAATTCGCATAACAAAACTGTATCAAAAGAGTTCATAGAAATAATAAAGATGATTTGTCTTAAGACTAATTACAATCGTTATTATTTGACTTGCAGGCTGAAAACCACAAGAAATGACACAGAAATGACGGTGGATGTTGCTCAACCTCCGGAGACTCCAATACCTGAGCAAATGCCAGAAATGGAAGGTACGAATGCCCGTCCGTTACCCAAAAAAGATTAAGCACGACAGTGGTTCGAGCTCGAAGAGTATTAATCGAACGCATGTTGAGCGAAGGTTTTAATTTTATTTCTATTGTAAGTACATTAGGCGCGCGTGATTGACCGTATACTACTTGTTAATAGATTTCTCGTTATGGTATTGAGCAAGGAATCGAAAATATTTTTTTTCAAAAAATGGCAATTCTATATATTTATTACTTTTCTCAATGTTCATTAAAATATTTATAAAAAAGTGGATCATTTTGCAAGTTATATTCTTTCTGGACCTTTTCTTTATTTTTGAGAAGCGAATTATTGTAAAAATGTTAGCTTTTAGCAGTTATAAAAAGATCGAAATTTTTTTTTAATTTATATACTGACTACTTTTTATAATTTATTGAACTACAGAATAAATGTTATAGGTTGTTAGTTTTCATATTAATACTGTAAATAATATTTTTAGGGTAATTTTGTATGATTAAATTCTATTTTTTAGACTTTATTTAGATTCAGCAATATATATTATAAAATCTATCACAGATTAGCCAAGAGATAAAAATGCGATTTATGAGATGCGTTAAACGCCAAGGCTTTCATATCTTTTTTATTTTTTGAATGAATTTAAGCGACTGTATTTTTATTTATATACTTATTTTTGTTTCGAGAATTATTTCTCACGTCTGTAAGATTTTGCTATTTGAAAGGCATTGTCATTTGAAGCATACTTTTTCTGTATCGACAAATTTTATACTTGAAATTTAGATTAAAAAACAGATTTATCTTACGGTTGAAAAATTGTTTGAATATTTGCATCTTACATCTACACTATTTCAGTTATGCTCATAGGCATCCATATATGTTTTTCAAATACAAATTCGAGGTTTAAAGCTTCTATGTCACTTTCAACAGCAAAATATTTATGTTATCTTATTATCTTAATTCGATGATATGTATAGATTAACATTAATATCATTGCGAACGTTTCATTCGTTTGTATAAATTATTTAGAGTATTAGATTATTCAAATAACGTCATTTTATAATTAATTAATTGATAGATATGATTGATCGTTTTCGAGGTAGACCATTTATTGAAAAATTATTGGATTGCAAAGTTGATGTAAGTTTGGTCCACTCCTTAAACATGTTTTCGAAATTGTCCTCTTTTTCATTTGAATTAGTTGAAAAAAAATATTAACTTTTGAAAACAATAAATGTTCTGTCAAGTAACAAAATTCTATTCTATATATTTGTCTTATTCGGTAATATGAAATCACTCTAACTTAGGAATATGTTTGATTTGATTGATCAATTATAGAAATGTTATCGATTTTTAATTCAAACACAATTTCAATTTAAAAAAATGTCGACTGTATCATTATGTATAAATAACACAGTTGCGTTATATGACTGTTCTTTAGATTTCTGACAATTTAACCACTGGATATACGCGCACATGCGTGCATGCGTATTTGTATATTTGTAGTTGTATTCGTCAAACTTAAATATTTACGCAAAATACTCAAATATAAAAGTAACGCAAGTTTCAATACAATAATTTTCAAAATGAAATTCTAGTATAAAAATTAAAAAAAACACCCGAATACTTAATAAAACAATTTGTATGTAATTCGCATTTCCTAGAAAAAGAAGTTCTCGTGAACTCAGTCTCATATACGACTAAATGGCACCATTAAAAGAAGGCTCCCGAGTGATTAAAAGAGTGATCGAACTTTCACTACAGCGTGCGTTGTCCTTGAAAATTCACACGTTTATTTGTCAGCAGTATCGTGTTGAAGGTGTTTCAATCTTTCGATAGGTCCACCAATAATATTTCCAAGAGGGCCAGAACCACCTGCCTCTTCTTGAATACTGCCTCGGAGATTTGCTTCGACATTATTACTATCGGCAGTGAGCATCTGTTCTTGAAGCTCCGAGTCGAGTAATCTCATATACTTTTCCATTTCTCTTTTTTCCTCATCATCACCACCTAAAGATCCTTCCGAGCTATCGTCGAACTCGCCATCACCACCTGGCACTACCAAGTCTAAAATGTCTCGTAAAGCAGTGTCAAAGACATCTGGATCGAACTCAATGCGGCCGTTATCTTCGACGTCTTCACTTTTCGAATCAGCATCGTTCTCTCTACAATAAGGCGAGTTCGTTAATGATAATCTATAGATGCTTTTAAAATAAAAGATTGTGCGTATTATTCTTACCCATAAAATTGAACACCTTCGATACCACTTTTTTTATTGATGAAGGCTTCAACTTTTCCTTGCAAACCTAAAGGTTGTTCTGCCGGTTTACTACTGAGTCCAAATTGTTGACTTAACATCGCCTCAAGTTGAGTAGGGTCTACATTCAACCAACTATCACTGTCTTCGGGACTCAAAGTAGTTATTTCTTCCGCTACAAAATCAATATTTACAATTTTTAATGAAGACCTCATAAACTAAAAAATATGTCTAGAATATCTCATAGAAGCAATGTTCTTACCTTCAATCTCGATATCATTGCTTTGAATATCTCTGTATACTTCAAGCACGTTGGTAGCCTCGTTGTCTTCCAACCTCTTGCTTGCTTCGCTAGGACTTACATATTCCTCGTAAAAGTCTCTAGCTTTTTTCAACCGTTGTTCGTGTTCCTTACTACCCTTCAACAGGTCCTGGAAGTAACCAGCTGCCTCGACGCGATTCAAATAAGCAGTCCAAACTTCCTCGTTAACACTATTCTTCATCTCGCTATCAGTAGTATGCTTACGACGTTTCTCGTGACCACGAGATACCAGCATCTCTAGACCACAAGCAATTTTAATTCCAAGTAGGTAGGCGTTATATTTTGGGCTACTTGCTGGTGGTAAATTCCATCCTGTTCGCGGGTCGCCTGTATACCTAAGTAAAATGAGTTATATTTTAGTAATTTTAGGGAAATAAAAACATAGACACTGGTTTAGAACTGCAATTTGAAAAACATTGCAGAAAAATAGAAGAAATTTTGTTAAAGAAATCTAGTAATCTTTTTGCCTTGGCTACATATTCTAACTATAATTGAACTACTTTTAACATGGTACATATCCATTTCAAATGATAACATTGATAACATTCATGTAATGACTATTTAACTAGCTATTGAAAAATCTGACTTATTTATCCTATCTACTTTCACATGTTGTATATCAAATTTGAATGTAAAAGAATTATATAGTAATCCAAGCATTAAAAATTATGAATATTTCTATACATATTCTAAAAGAATATAACTAATTTTATAAATTTACAATACTATCAAGTACAGTACTTTAGTCAACATAGAAAACTAGAAATCAGCTAGCTCTACCTAACTCACCCATTCACATGAATATTTAAGTGAGTTAAATTACCAAAAACTTACCATACTGGTAATACACGCTGACCAGCCCTATTTCATTTACAATTATCAATCGATACTTAAATTAGTTTGTGAATGAATAATGGTGTTAAACTAATCTTTAGTACGATTATATTACATTGATTTTTCTTGCATAATATATCTAATTCCTACCTGCAATGCATGGCCATTGCATATAGGCACTTGGTCATATTAACATTTGTCATGATGCGCTGTTCTGGAGGAAAATAACGCATGGCGCGGCAAACTTTTCTTTCCAAAGGATCTGAATGACAAACAGATCTTATCGCTGCTGCAATAATTTGAGGCTCTCTATGAAGAATATGAGCAGCTTTTTCAGGCAAGTAAGCTCTTGCTTTATGTTTTCTTCTTTTAGTCTCTCCTGGATAGATGTTAATTCTTTTTTGAATGGCAACTTGAACCTGTAATTAGATTCATAAAAATATTGTAACATTTGCTTGACAAATAACTAATCAAGTGGATAACAGATAATAATCACATACTTTATCAGACATCTTGAATATATGAGAACGTTGATAGACACTGTTTAAAATATTTATGCAAATTTTCTGTTTATCCTGTACTGCATGAATGGCACCATTTAGAATAAAGACACGATTGTGACAAGTTTCTGGAGTTGCCCAGACAGGAAGTTCATCTGCTGCTTCAATTAGTAGAAATTCACCATCGGAATCAACCATTCTCGCAATAAGGCCTTCATATTTGTTGGTGAGATTCATAACGAGGAAGACAACAAACCACTCATCACCTATATCTTCATCAAATCTCAACAACACATGTATGTGCGGCAGTAGATCAAAGTCTGCAATTTAAGATCCCATACAGTTTTAATCATTAAAATTTTATTCATAAGTGCTATTTAATAATTAATTGATCTATTCAGCATTTAGTATTCAATTTTCAGTTCTTCTTAATTCCTTGCACTATAAAATTATATATACTTTTGAAATTGAAGCTAAGGAGCAAAAAAAGCTAATTTAATATAATGATAAACAGAGGTGAAGAATTACCAGATGCCCTGGAGGAACCCTCTACAACACTATCAAGTTGCAAAGCTTGCTTGGTCCTTGCTTGAAACTTCAAACCATCCCGGTGCCAAAGGTAATCCTTGACAAACGGTTCAATGTCTTTTTGGAAAGTCTGAATTTCTTGGCTCAGCATGTCGTCGCTGACCTCGTCAGGGTTTAGGGTGTAGCAAAATCGCGGATAGAGGAAGCACTCGAGGACATCGTCCTCTCTTGGCCTCTTTGGCTGTATTGTTATATTTTGCATTTTTTCTTTCTGTTGTCTATAAATTGTCTTTACTCGACGTTCATTACAATCCACTTTAGTCGTTTTTGCAGCGCTTAATCTATAGCAATATCACCATTCGCCACTTCGTGCGCACCACACATGCCAAACGGCGAAACCTAATCTAACCTCACTAACCTGTAAGTACGCGCGGAACTATACCTATTTGGTGGCGCCTGTTGCGGGCAACTGTAGAAGTTTATTATCGTAAAGGGTAGAAGTGATTTATGCATTTATATGATGGAATAGGGTTGCATCAAGTATAAGAGCTAAACGAAGTTTTCTGTTAGTTACTTTTATTTTATTCCTGAAGCCCGATGAAAACTACGTTGAAACTCGAGCGCGTTAACAAAAGCTTGGATAATTAAAACTATTAGAGCATGTTTTTTAAGCGCAAAAGTATTCGGGTGATTGGAACCATGTACGAGAACTTATTCGTGAGGACGCGAAAGCTTGAAAAATAATTAGGATTTTGAAAACTCGCAGAGCTGCACATGCATTCGATGCTGATGTTTTATATATTCACTTATTATATTCATACAATGATTGTATGGAATTCAACAATAGATGACTATTAATTGTTTATAATATGACTGTTAGATAAAGTTATCTTTTTAATGACACTATATCCACATATAGCTAGGCAATATAGTGACTTGTCCGATCTTCTGTACGTAGAATATTGAGAATGTTTTCACATTCTGTTACTACGACGAATTACTATTAGAATTTTTTCCCGACGAACTATGATAAAAATGAAAATGATGATATGATAACTTTGCATGTATATAACGAACAAAACTAATAATACGAAAAAACCAATTTCAAATTGCAGAAAAGTGAATGAGTTTGTTTGCATGAATGTTAGATATCAAGACAAATGCCTTATTTATGATCATCTTCTCATCCATGTTCCACTTAAGAAATCAAATACTAGCAATTTCTAGTTGCAAGACAATTAGATATTCCACATGAAAATACTTTTTAAAGTTCAAAAATACAATCCGGTTAGGAGTGAATGAATAATTAAATAACCCAATAACTCAAAGATTAAAATAAATAAAAGAAACTTAAAGGCTTGAGTAAAATGCTGAAGTTCGTTGGTAAATGTGAAAAAAATGTGTCAACGGTAACTCGCGTTGTCGAAAAAAACAAAAGTAATTGCACAAAAATTGAATGTGTAATTTTTTTCGAGTAGTGTCAATAAAATTTCATGAACGTTGGACCGTTAAAAATGAATAAATGTGATTAATCTTGTAACACTGCATCTTTGTAATTTTCAGTGGTCGTTCGCGGAAGAAGTTCATCGCGACTATGGACATTTCTCAAGGGAAATCACTCGATACAGGCATATATAGAAGTTTTTTGACGCGCGCAATAAAAAGCGAACTGCACTTATTTATACATTTAGTCTCTACGGGTGGTCAATTTGCCGTCGGCAAGGATATAACTCGCACTCAAGGGCATTGCCGATATACACTTTCGCCTGGAAATCTCTTAAAAAATCGGACCGCTATTTGTCATTGCTTCATTTGCATAACGTCTTTATGTGGTATCTATACATACGTGAAAAGTTCGTAAGCTCGACTGTTACCAACGAACAATCAACATAGCATGAATTAGATACAATAGTAACTTATAATAATCCAATTAATTTGCATTTCGTACAAACAAATTTCTCTTGACCATTTGCCACTACTGTATTCGGCCTGAAAGCATATGTCAACTAAATTTTAGGAAAAAAAAACCTCACGTGAAACTAAAATACAAACAACCATAAGCAGCCAACAAACGGCCGTTTGGCAACTATCGGCTTTTATCAAGCGCACATGTCGAAGCATGCATACATACGGTCACGTGAAGCCTATCTCTCTCTCTCTCTCTCTCTCTCTCTCTCTCTCTCTCTCTCTCTCTCTCTCTGACTTCCAAGACATACCTGTAACGACTCATAATAGACTGTAGGAGCATTTAGTGTCACGTAGGCGCTCGTCGCGGGCACCACCGCGCAGCTCGCTTTTCCGCTTTTTTTACAACTCGCCCGTGCGTTCTTCCGCAGACAGCATGGACAGCAAAACCCGCAGCGTGAAGATCAATCCCGCGGCTACGGCCAATCCTTTGAACAAGCTGTTCTTTTGGTGCGTACGGCACAATGAGATATTTGATATATTTGCAGTATTTTTTCTCCCTCTTTTGCAAGCGATATCCTTGCAGCTTATCGAAAAACGCGCGCGCGGCTGGTATTTGCTTACCATTTACAACTGCGAGATGGTTTTCAGTGAGTGATTTTTTTAGGTGATATTTATGGCAAAGTGACGCGTGGTACAAAAAAATCTCTCAGACATCGATACTCGGAAAACCAATCGGAATATTTTGACGGAAAGTAGCTTCGTGATTGTTATTATTTCGCATCTGTTTTAGTTATTGAATTTTAAATCAATTGAGAAATATTCTTTCGACATATGTTCAAAGAATAAAGTTAATTTAAATAAATGAAGTTGAATGCAGTACGATACACGTGGACTGTTAAATTATTTAATTGTTGTATCAATTACCTAATATCGACATTGCTCGCTGTTATTTTAGTCACAATTATTATCGTCATATCATGCTGTCAATTTCTGTCGTATAGAATCTAAAATTACACATGTAAAATTATTCCATCGTGCGTGAAATTATTAATTCATGAATATTGAAAATAATTCAATTGTTGTTAAATTTATCATCGCAGCAATGTTTTTAATTACAGTTTTGAAGAAAATGTATAATGATAATTGTTTGAACGCTCGACATACGTTAAATTACGAAATAATTGTTGGGCAAATATGAATTATTTAATTGTTGTGTCTGAAAATGAAAATTAATTAATCCTTAGTCACGGCTTTATGGGGGCATTGGTAGCACAAATATGAATTCGTATTTACGCTTAAAGTATTATTTTATGTGATATTAATTTTTATTCGATTAAATAATGGTATCTGACGTCGCGAGCTAAACCAAGCATCGATAAAAATGTCGCCAATAACTTCAATTCGCTTTTCTGACACACTTTCAACTGATTACTTTCCATGATTTCTGTGGCGAATTAACATACACGTTTGAATGAATATTCATTAATGTGCACAGCACAATTGCACGCTGTTATCCGTGGAAACAATGGCTCTGACTACGAATTTTCTCTCGCGCGCAGGTACACGCGTGAGATTTTTTGGAAGAGCAACAACCGAGACATCACGTTAGATGACATTTACGATCCCATGAAAACTGACGAATCGGAACGTTTGGGAGATATTCTTGAGAAGTGAGTATATACAGTAATTACTGTCTTTCATTTACATTGCGACGATGAAAAATTCACAAGATCCTTATAGATCCTCAGAGCGCGGCGAATGAAGGTAGTTACGAAATGAAAAACGTGCATCGCTATCGGCCTCTTCATCCGACTCGACTGTATAACGATACTTGTGTTATTGATCCGCAGAGAATGGAGGCGCGAGTTATTGAAAGGTCAGTCGCAAGAGTACGATGTAGGCGAGGAGGGTCAAAAGATCAAGAGATCATCGCAAAAACCAAGTCTCGCCTGGGCTCTCGTTCGTGTGTTCTTCTGGGAAAATACGTGGCTGTCGCTGCTCTCGGTTGTCAACTTCTCGGTCTTCACCGTAATGATGCCCATCTTTCAAGGTATGCTCATCAATTACTTTAAAATCGAAGAGGATCCAAACCACGTCGAGCGCAATAAAGCCTACGCCAACGCCAGCTTCATGGTTCTCTCCAAGCTCATCGCCACCTTCCTCATGCATCACTGCTTTCGCATTTCGTGGAGCATGGGGCTGCGCGCTCGCGTTGCTTGTTGCGCCTTGATCTACAGAAAGGTGAGTGATTTTAATTGTTCCCACGAGGTCTTCGAATGCTCGATGTACCTTTTTCATCGACATTTCGACAACTCTCGGCCCAAGATATCAAGTTTGCCATTTAAAATCGATTTTCAGCTTCGTTAACATTACATACAATCTTTTTTCTCCCTCAAATTTTCATTAATTTTGTCAGCGCATAGTCCGTCGAAAAATCTATAAAAACCACATATCTTGAGTACTGACAACACGTTAAACAAAAGGATGAAAAGAACATTCTCGAAGTACGTTTCGTTCGTAAAATACTTTTCCTTGATCTCAAGATTCACATAGTATCCGAGTTACATAGACAAACAATCGAATCGTTTAGAAAGCACAAAACACACACACTCACACACACACACAAAGATCGAAACGTGCCAAGGTTATTTGAAAATATTGCACAAAGCCCTCCCATTGTACCTGCGTTATAAAGCTCGTTCTCCCGTAGATGTACGTAAATCGAAGGCCGTGAACTCAAGAGTCGCTCAATCGTGCGTCTGCCAAAAAAAAAAAAAAAATCATTTCGAGAGAGATAGAGCAAAACGAACCAGTAACACGTCATCTCATGAGCGAGTAGTTCCGGAAAGGTTCACGGCAACTCTCACGCGGGTAAATCATCCCATTCACTTTGCCGTAATGCGCACTGTGAGATTTGATTCTACGTGCAAGCGATACACTGTCAACCGCGGAGTAACTCGTAGGGAGAGCGCGCAAACGATAGCGAAGGCGTACGTGTGTTATTGATGGCGACGTGTTCGGGCGTTCGGCTGCAAGTTTGTCGCCCGGCGAGCATCGTTTTTCTTTTTTCATTATTAGCGATCGAAATTCGACAGCTTCATAAGCAATCGAAATTGACAAATGGCAGCGCAGATCAGTCGCTTGGATAAAAATTGACAGATGGAGATGTGTATCGACAGAGAGCGTATACTTCTCAAGTGCAGCTTTTTCGAGTTCAAGTGTGCTGATAAGCGCGCGCTTGCGTATACATTCGCGAAGGCGTTCTCGAATAATCGAGGTGGCGCCTTTAAACGCTCCGAAAATTGCGCTCAGCTATGGACAATTAAAAAATGATCATCAACGACGAAGGCATTCGCATCGAACCGTTTGGACAACGAATAACGATGCGCGATTCGAAACTTGTCTCTTATCCTTGATTTGAGCGAAGATTTGTCCTTTTCTCGCTAACGCTCTATAACGTCCAGTGTCTCGACGCGACTGG